TTATTTTTATTATTATTATCATTATTAAATGCAATTTTGCAAATTTTTACTTATTTTCACCAAATTCTAGCGGCGTCCCAGGCATGAATTGGTCATAGTGGGTGGTTGGCAGGTGCTCTGGTGCTGCTTGCTCCTTCTTTCCTATCAAACATCTATCGTCCTGGTCTCTCCTCCTTTTTTGTGTTTGTTACTCTCTTGTAACACCTCTAATCTTGGGCACTTATATGACCTTATTGTGTTGCAAGTGCCGTAAAACTCTTACTAAGACTAAACTTACCTTTTCCCTGCATGAAATGACCATTATTTGTGTCGATGAGCTTCTCTTTACTCAGTTAACCAAACAAACAAACAGACAAACAAATGCTCTACACTCAGGTCCACCTGCCCGACTGATGGTCAAGCCGGACGCAGAGGTGACCTTGGAGAACGGTTCCTCGCCCTCCTTCTTTGTGGAGGTTCACGACCCTGCTGGGAACGTCACGTGTGGTGCAGCCAAGATGAATGTCTTTTGTAAGGTGAGCCTGTCATCTATTCACTTGCTGGAGGGCAATACCACAGTCAGTCCTGGAAGTACTCTAAAAATGATCCCTGTTCCTCAGTTTATTGGCAGTATAGGCCTAAATTATGTTTATGGGAGTGTATTACAGAAGCAGTCCTTCAATTTACAATGGTGTGCATTCCTCAGTTTACGGGCAGTGGGGGCCTAAATTGGTTGATGGGAGTGTAAAACATCAACAATCCATCAGGCGTAGAACATCATCTGTGATCATCCAGTGCCAGATCTGCGACAGACATCGACGATCATGGTTCTCCATTCATTCGTTTGCTCAGATGCTCTTAAAAAAGCTACGTTTCTCTGATCTTTCCCCGTTACTCATTTGTTTAAGTTCCCTTAGTAGGCTGCTCTGTCAGGATCTACCCTTGCCTCGTTTGTTTGCCTTCAATTTTGCCAGTGAGAGCTAGATGTTCAAGACTTCTATGTCTATTCAGGTGTCCTAAATTAACAATCCGTCAATTTACGATCTTATGCCAGTTTACAGGCAGTACGGGCCTAAATTGTTTCAATGGGAGCATAAAACATTAACAATCCTTTGAATCTGGCACGATCTTGTGTATGTTCCTCAGTTGACAGGCAGTTCGGGTCTAAATTGTGTAGATGGAAGCGTAGAACATGAACAATCCGTCAATTCACAATCTTGTGTGTGTTCCTCAGTTTACGAGCAGCACGGGCCTAAATTGCTTCGATGGGAGTGTAAAACATTAACAGTCCGTCAATTCACGATCTTGTGTTTGTTCCTCAGTTTATGAGCAGTACGGGCCTAAATTGCTTCGATGGGAGGGTAAAACATGAACAATTTGTCGATTCATGATCTTGTGTGTGTGTTCTTCAGTTTGCAGGCGGTACAGGCCTAAATTGTGTAGATGGAAGCGTAAAACATTAACAATCCGTCGATTCACGATCTTGTGTGTGTTCATCAGTTTGCCGGCGGCGGGGGGCTGCCCAACTACTCGTGCGACTGCTCTGCCAGTGGCTCGGCCACACTGACCGGTCCGCCCCTGATAGTCAAGAAGATGGCCGGGGAGCTGCAGCTGACCGCCCGGATAGAGATTGTGGTATGTCCTTTTTTTGTTGTTGCCAGAACTGACCAGTGGCTAGTGAGGGGAAACTATCTGAACCCTTAACCCTAGAAGCGCTCAGCGTTTCACCGGAAGTAACCCTCTCAAAATGCAAATGTTGTAAAACTTACTAATACTAAATCTAAACTTGCTTTTCCTCTTGTTAAAATGACAGTCATTGCATCAATGTGCTTTTATCTACTAAGCTACTTACACCTCAAATCTTCAGTCCTTATATGACCTAATTGGGTTGCAAGCGCAGTAAAACACTTACTACAACAACAAGCACTTGATTCATTCAATTGTCAGCTGAAGTCATTTCTGTGTTTTAATTAATAAGATAAATATTTGGAGTGGTTTTTCTTTTGGTCAGAACTGTGGTTCATTGTATTGTATTGTAAAAGGCTCAGAGCCTGTGTGCTTTAATTGGTGTTTTAACGCTCTAAATATAAATGTCATGTATCATCATCTTCTCAGGGCATGAAGACAGTCAAGCCAGTGGAGAGGGTGGTCTGGCTCAAGCCCAGCGGCCGTGTCTCCCAGCTTCAGCTCTTCTGCTCACTCAACGGCAAAGAGACGGAGATAAAATCTGGGCAGGCTCTGGAGATGGAGGCGGGATCTGTGCTGGAGAATATCAGTGAGTTGAAACTTTTATCGGATTTTAACTCTTTAAACCCTGAGTTTTTTCCATGGTTTCCCAGAGATTGTTCTAGTCAGTAAAGTTGACACATTCTACCAGTGTCCGTGTGAAGTGGTTAAGTGCTTCGCTGTCACACGACAAAAGGCCTGAATTTGGTCCTGATTTGGGAGAATTTTTATTGAATATCTCAGTTTTGAGTCAGTGGGGCATAAACAACATAAAAAAAACAACAAAAAAACAACTTAAAAAAACTGATCACATTTCCCTGAAATGACCTAATTGTGTTGATAGCACTACTGAATAAATGTGAGGCAGTATCGTGATATCAGGCACTCGTCAAAATAATGAAATCAAAGAAATTAGCATTTTTCTGACTGTAGAGCAATTTTTTTCTAATTTTCTTTTTCTGGCCTTTTATATTAATTTAAAAAAATATTTCTGTGTGGACTTTACTGAAAAACATTAATTAAAGGCACAAATAATGTAAGTTTTCAGTTTCCACGGATTATCAAGCTATGGAAATAACCAGACTTTGGCTGCTTTTTCTTTCCTCATCCTTACTATCGTCATTTTGCCTCTACTTCTTTTGTATGTTTGTCGCTCTCTTGTGAACTGCTATTTCCG